TATTGTATTTAAAAGGGAAGAGAGTAATGTAAGCCAAAGATTTATTTTTTTCTGGAGATGACAGATTAACTTGGCTCAAAAAGGAGCACCCTTCTCAATACAAGAGTCAGTATGAAGCCCGATAGGTAACTTTCACCTAATTTGCTTCTTGAGATATATCTTAAGAAGTGAATACTGTCTGTGTATTTTATTTTCTGTACATCTTGATTATATGGATTCATGTCAGCCTTGTATTTTAAGTTCCAAGAGAATAAAAGCTGTATCTACTCCTGCATAATACTTCACAATAGATACAGTTACATATTTATACATGTGTGTATGGATATATATATATATATATATATTGACATCATCTATTTCAAAGTAATTGCCGTATTCTAGTAAGAAAAAAAAGTAATCGCAAATTCTTATTAAAATAAAAGCCACTATGCAAAGTGTTCTACCTTCATTTTTTCCCCACTTATTCCTCTCTATATTCCTGTGAAATAGATATTACTATTGCACTCATTTTATAGGAATCTTCACCAAGGTCATAGAGTTCATGGGACACAGGGCCAGGATTTGAACCCATGAACTGACTCTAGAGTCCTTACTCTCAAACAACTCCCCAAGCACCAAGGTAATAAGACCTGTTTATCTATTTGATGTATTTAGTACCTACTGATTTTCTTTTCTGAAAATTCTTTTATACTCCTTGCTTTAAGAGGTGGAATCAAATTCCTCTCTTCCTTTGACTTAAATGACTCACTTTTAATAAATAGAATAAAGCTGAAGTGATGGTGTGCAACTTAAGAAACTGTCTCTTGATCTCTTCCTTTTGGGTCACACTCTGAGAGAAAGCCAACGGCCATGTCATGAGTACTCAAGAAACTGTGTGGAGAGGACCATTAGGTAAGGAACAGTGGCATCCTGCCAACAGTCATGTGACTAAACTATCTAGGACACAGACCCTCTGCCAGAATCAAGCCTTCAGATGACTCTGGCCTCATGAAAGATCCTGAGTTAGAATCACGCAAGTAAGCCAGTCCCTAATCCTTAACCTCAAAAACTGGGCAATATAATGTTTGTTGTTTTAAGCTGCTAAATTTGGGGTATTTTGTTAATCAGCAAAAGATCATTAATACAGAAGGAAGGAGCAGTTTAAACTCCCAACTTGTCACATGTCACAGCTTGGATAAAGAAAGAAAAGGGAAAAGTTTACAAATGATCTCTAACTTTCAACTACAGAGTCCTGAGCAGTTCTTTCCATTTCTTTTTGAACGTATCATCTGAGTATCAGTTCTTTTATCCTCCAACCTCTCCATTTTGAAAATAAATCTTTAAAATACAATCATTATCATTAAAGTCTAATATAACCAAAAATAATTAGATATCCTTGGCTATTTGAATGATTTTATGGTCCTATAGTAACCAAGATGGAAAAAATTCTTGAGAGACAGGTAAATATACAATTGTTTCCAATACCATATAGGCTTTAAATGCTTTTACTTTTAGCTTATCCTGGGGATTTTCTTTGTATTTTCTCTTTATCTAGTATAAAGAATCATAAAATGTTATGGTTGGAAAGGAGCCTATAGCCCACATCACCTAGAGGTTTTCAAAACATAAAGAACCTGAACATCATGACTGCTTTTTCTTTTTTTTAATATTTCTTTACTATTGTATTATTTAATTATTTTATTTTGATGGGGGGAGGTAATTAGGTTTATTTCTTTTTAGAGGAAGGACTGTGGATTGAACCCAGGACCTTGTGTATGCTAAGCATGCACTTTACCACTTGAGCCATACCCTCCCCTCCATGACTGCTTTTCCTGACTAGCATAAATTAGATATATCACACTTTAAAACCAAATATATAACTGTGTGCTCTAACAGATACAATACCAAAGGCAACAGGCTTTAAAGTTTTTTTTTAAATGATGGGTAGGAATCAAAGGGAGACATTCTATTCATTTAATGTTTTCTTCCTATAATTTGGGAGAAGAATGACAATTTCCTATTTTAGTAATAACAGCTCTCTAACCACCAATGGTAGAGTTATTTGAGAACCACCAGTTTAATCCAGTGCCCTCATTTTACACATCAGGAAACTGAGGCTCCAAGAAGTTAAATAATTTGAGCAAAGTTACACAGTATCTTATGATTTCAAGGTCAAAACTTCTACGAAACAATCTTCTATAAAACTTAGAAGCTGCAAAATGGATGAAAAGTTAAATCCATTTTACTATTACTATATTTATAAGTTATAAACTATAAAGGGGTTGATGGTTTGTGTTTTAATGTCAAAAGCTAAAGCAATGGTTAAGTGTCTTTCTGAGAAATTATGAAAAAAATGGGAAAAACTTTTGAGCAGTGAATGGTGGGATAACAATAAGAGGTCAAACAAGTCTTCTGATACAGCCAAACTAACAATGAAATTGAAAGCTGGAGTGTGGTATGTTGGACATGTTTAGGGAAATAAAACGGGTCATGAAAACTAAGCTCTAAGAAAATTAGGTCTATCAAGGACAAGCTGGAATCAAGTAAAGCTTGGTTCATCAACCCTGGAAGATAGCCAATAGACACATGAGTGAAATTCTATATATTTACACAGAGAAAGGATGGTTTATTTCATATGTCTTATACTACTGCTTAATTCTCTATTTTTGGTCTTTTACATTACTGATTTGTTTTATTTAATAGTCAGGTTTTATAAAATATTATTAAAATGAAGATGTTTGAACCCATAGTCACATATTCACCCATTTATTCAACAAATAATTATTCAGCACTTACTTCAAGTAAGTTCCTGTTGTAGGCATCCATTACTACACCTAGTACAACTGAATTATGTAACAAAGGAGAAAAATTAAGGCTTCTCAATTCACACAGAACTCCCACCAAAGGTAGAATTCTTAGACAGTATGATATACAAAACTGCTTATACATGAAATTAGAGAGTAGTAGTGAATGGGTATAAGCTACATTTTGCACTACCACCCAGCAAAGTTAAATTATTTACATGTACAAAAGCGTTCATAAGGCATGAATTTTTAATACTGGGTTCACAAAAGCAAAATTTTGTTAACAAAATGTGCATTTTTCTGAGGAAAACGACCATGGCTATTTTCAGATTCTCAAAGAGGTCCATGACTCCCAAAAGTTATTTTATCGTAAATGACCATGCCATATGCGTTTATAGACCATGAAAACCTGACAATGAGTAAGGATCCAGCATGTACATCTTGAAACTGATGATTTGGCCATTTTTGAAACTGATGATTTGGCTTAGGTTCATGTTTTCTGCATTTTACTTGGGTTATTCCTGGACCAGACTCTCCTTGAGTTTGATTCTTCACTGTATGGTTAATACTAGGCAAAACACTGCTTCTAATTCTTAGCAGTCACTCCAGAAGGACTGTCACCTGATTCTTACAGCTAGTCTTTTCTAATGGATGTTAGAAAGTTGTCTTCAAAAAGCATTTATTAAGCACACATATGTGCATGATACCCTGCAAAGTGAGTTGAAATGGTTAATGATCTATTTTAAATAATATTTATGACAGCTGATTTCAAGAGCTTGGGTTCTTTATTATCATTAGAGAATGTACAGTATCTTGAATACTCTGGAGATTTTTTTCAATTCCTGTGAAACTTTACAAGGACTAACACATGATTCTTGTTTAGCATGTTTTTGAAAAACTTTACAATGGAGTTCTTAACTAAAATATATCGCAACTATAAGCCAAATTCTATTTTGATTGATTCCAAAAGGAATATTCAAATTAACTAATTTCCTCCCCTCGAAATATAGCTTCTGCACCTACCCACTGAAAAGTTCTTCAAGGTTAATATAGAGCTTTAAATCGTCAAGCCCAGCAACCTTTTCTTAGTCTCCAACTGACTCTTCTCTAAACAAATGACATTACTGACCACCCTTTATTAAAATCCTTCCCTTCATTTGATTTTCATGATAATAAACTGTCTGGCTTTGTTTTTCTCCAATTTGTTTCTTTTCAGTTGACTTCGCCCACTTCAGCACAACCCTTAAATGATGGTTCTCCCAAAGTGTGGGCCTGAGCCACCTTCTCTTTTCACTCTCCACTCTCTCAAGAATGGTAGTTAGTATCCCTTTACCACCAGGGCTTTCAATATTTCTGAATTGACTCAAAAATCAGCATGTCCAGTCTTGACTTATTTTTTGTTTAGCTCCAGGTTCTAATTTCTAGTTATATGGTAAACATCTTTATTTGGATAACCCACTGGTACCTAAAGGTCTTTTATCTACAAATTTCCTTTGTTTCCTCTATCTTTAACATCACCATCATCCCAGGCTAGAAATCCTGAATCATATGTGTTCTAGTTTAGGAAGTCATCTCATATAATTTTTGAGGGGGATTTAAAACATATATGAAATTACCCCAAAAATACATAACAAACAGTCACAACCCCACCATCCAGATCAAACAACTGTTATCATTTCGTTATTTATACTTGAAGATACTGTTTCTCCGTAATAAGTAACACATTACAGGTGAAGATAACATCTTTGAGTACCACCCCCAGTCCTCACTGGCCATTCTGTTTCTCCAAAGAAACTACCATCGTGAGTTCTGTGTAAATTCTTCCAGTCTATTTTTTATACTTCTGTCTGTGTGTTTCCCAGAATGATATATGGTATTATTCTGCATGCTCTGGGTACATAAATGACATCTTACTATATATACCATTTTAAAAATTACTTTCTTAGCTCAAGATTCACATTATATCTATACTGGTATAAGTAAATATAGCTATGCTCTTAGATGCTTCAAAGTATTCCTGCCTGTGCATGAATATACCCCATTTTGTTTATCAAATTATCTACTGGTAGGCAAATAAAAGTTGTTTCCATTTTTTCACTTTTATAAACAATGCTGCAAAAAATTCTTGTCTCCCTCTTCTTAAGCATGTATGCTAGAGTCTCTCCACAGTCTATACCCACAAATAGAATTTTTAGGTCATAGAATAGTGTATTTTTTTAAAATACGGAACGGTTCACAAGTTTGAGTGTCATCTTTGCACAGTGGCCATGCTAATCATCTCTGTATCCTTCCAGTTTTAGTATATGTGCTGCCGAAGCGAGCACAGAATAATGTATTTTTAATTTTATACATTACTCTCTCCAATGTAGCTGTGTAAGTCTAAAATCCCACCAGTGATGTGTTTTAGTTTCCATTTTTTTCACATTCCTGTCAATATAAAATATAATCAGACTTAAAGGATTTTTGTCATCTGTTGGATGACAAAAAAATGTTCACTGTTGTATTAATTTCCACATACTTCTAAGTACTGAGGATAAACTTTTTTTCCCATATACTTATTGGCCATTAACATTTTGCACCATGAATTGCCTATTCTTATCCTTAGTCATTTTTCTATGACACTTTTTGTCTTACTGATTGGTAGAATGTTAACATATTCTAGATAATAATTCAGATACGTATTCCAAATATCTTCTGCCAGCCTGCAGTTTGACTTTTACTTTGGTTGGTCTATAGCATCCTCTGTCCTACAAAATTTTTAAGTTTGATACAGTCAAATTAATATGTGTTTTCCCTTACAGTGTTTCTTAAATAGCCCATGGAATAAAAAGGAAACATAAAGGAATTAAGAAATATTTAGAAATGAATTATAACAAAAATACATGTCAAACTATATATGACACAGCCAGAACAATACTTAAGAGATCAGGAAATGAAAGGTTTAAAAATAAACAAGCTAAGCATTCAATTCATAAAGATAGAAAAATCAACAGTTCAAACCCAAAGAAACTAGAAGGAAGGAAATAATAAAGAGCAGGAAAAATGAAATATAGAGTAATAATTTTAAAAAATAAAGATTCATAAAACCACAAGTTGATTTTAGAAAGACTAATAAAATAGATAGACCTTTACAAGAGTTACCAAGAAAAGAAGGTACATGTATGATACAGAACAAAAGGGGAGAAATAACCACAGTTACAATAGATATAAAAATAATAAATCAATATTATGAACGATTATATGCTACTAGAGTTGAAATCTGTACAAACTGTATAAAGAAGTTATATAAAATGTATAAAGAAAAAACAGAATAGTAAGTAGCAAAGAAATTAAAATGTAGTCCAAAACTTCCTCTCAAAAAAAAAACCCAAGTTTTTAAAATGTCTTTATTGGAAAATTCTAGCAAAAATTTAAATTAATTACTATCTTAGAGAAGTTGCTGTAGAAAATAGAAAAGAAAAATAAGTGAAAGCAACCTGGATTATTTTATGAGCCTAGTGTAATCTTGATTCAAAACCAAATAATAATAATACAAGAAAAGAAATCAGAGCTCCATATTACTTATGAAAGGTCCTTAACTTAAAGAAAACAGAGTAAAATGATGAAAAACACATCCTCAAATGCAAGGAGAGTTCAATGCCTGAGAATACATCAATTAACTGATCCTATTAACAGATTAAAGAAGAAAAATCATGACTTATCAAAGAATGCTGAAAAAGCATCTGATAGGACTCCATGTATAACAATACAAAAGCAAAATCAAAGGATTATATGGAAATTCCTTACCCTGGTACATATTATATACTAAAACCTACAAGAAACATTAAATGTCAAGTTGAAACTTCATATACATGTCCTTCAAGATTGGGAACAAAACAAAAATGCCAGTGGGGATGTAAATGGGTGCAGTCACTATGGAAAACAGTATGGAGATTCCTTAAAAAACTAAAAACAGTTCACTCCAGCAATTCCATTCCTGGGTGTACATTCCAAGAAAACAAAAACACCATTTCAAAAAGATATATGCACCCCAATGTTCATACCAGCATTGTTTACAATAGCCAAGACACAGAAGCAACCTAAGTGTACATCAACAGAAGAATGGATAAAGAAGATGTGTGTGGGGGGGGGTGTATAAATATATATAATGGAATACTACTCAGCCATTAAAAAGAATGAAATTTTGCCATTTGCAACAATATGGATGGACTTGAAGGGTACTATATGCTTAGTGAAATAATTCAGATAGAGAAAGAAATACTGTATGATTTCACTTATATGTGGAATCTAAAAAATAAACTAGTGAATATAACAAAAAAGAAAGACTCACAGATATAGAAGACAAAACAGTGGTTACTGGCGGAGAGAGAGAAGGAGGAGTGGCAAGATAGGGAAAGAGGATTAAGAGGTATAAACCACTATGTACTAAATGAATAAGCTACAAGGATGTATTATACAGAACAGGAAATACAGCCAATATTTTATAATAACTATAAATGGAGTATAACCTTTAGCCACTGTGAATCACTATGCTGTACATCTGAAATGTACGTAATATTGTAAATCAACTACACCTTAATAAAATATTTTTTAATTAAAAAAATTTTTTAAGAAAATCTACTACAAAAAAAATAATAAATAACCCCAATGGGAATGCCAGTTAATATCACTACTCTTTAATATATTGGAGTTCTTGGCCAACATCATAAGAAATGAAGAAGAAAGAAGATGACTGGAGATTAGAGGAAAGGAGACCTGAGCTGTCCGAGCTGAGGCCATCCTATACCAGTAAGATCCACAGCGGATCCACAGAAAACCACAACAGGAGTAAGCCCAGCCCATCTCAGCAGAACCACATAACTAATCCATAGACTCAGGAGAAACAGTACCTGGTTCTTGTTTCGAGCCAATAAATTTTGGAGTGGTTTGTTATGAAGTAACAGCTGATACAACTGAGAATTCTGTGATATATCCATTACTGGGCTACTAGAAAGGTAAAATGTGGTAGATGTCTATCATGGAGAACTGTGCAGCAGTTAGATGCAACAGATTAGATATACAAAGCAACATGGATACTAAGAAGAGCACTTACATAAAAAGTAGGAAACAGAGTAAGATACATAATACCATTTATATAAATTTTAAATATATGCAATAGGATATACATACTTAATACATTTTTAAAAACCTGTTCAATTTAAATTTGATGCTTATGAAGGAGGGAGATGGGATTGTGGTATAAATAAAAACGATAAAGAGAAATAAATAAATCAATTGAAAAATAAAACAAGAATGTATGAAATAGGGATCTAATTTTACTTTTCGCTCTATAAAAAGCTAACTATTCTACTATAATTCATTGAGTAGTCCTTCCTTTCAATAAATCCATGTCTATTATATACCAGGCATAATGTATGCTTCCTCTGTTTCTGGGCTCTCTATTCTATCCTATTCAACTATGTCTAGGGGCCAATAACATGTTTTAAAACGCTGTATAGTTTTAGAATCATTCTTTATGAATAGTACCCCTTAGTTTGTTCTTTTGCGGAATTGCCTATAGACTATTTTTGGACCTTTTATCTAAGAGCTTGTCAAATTCCACCAAAAAAAGTCCTCTTGGAATTTTGATTGGAATTGTATTGAATTTAAAGATTAACTGGGGAATAATTAACAGCTTTACCATGCCCAGTTTTCCATGTATGCTTGTGGGTTAAAGATTAAAGGAAACAATGATATGATTTTGGTCTGTTTAGGTTTTTTATTTCCTCTTAAGGAAGTTGTATATCTCATTTATTTATGTCCCTCCATAAAGTTAAATTCTTATTTTCATAAAGGTATTACATATTATTGTTAGATTTATTCCCAAATCCTAATTAAGTTTTTAAACTATGAATGCATTTTTTGTTTTATTTTCTAATTATTGCTCACTTTTGTATATAGCAACCTTGATGAACCTTCTAAGAGCAGTTTTTAAACCTAGTCATTTAAATTTGTGTTAAATCTTCTGCAAATAACATTGTTTCTTCCTTTCTGATCTTTATGCCCTTTATTTTTCTTGTCTTATCTGCATTTGCTATACACCCTCCAATAATAATTCCAGTTAGTAAACATGACAAATGGAATCCTGTTTCCCTATTAGGAAATTTGCTAAAGATTTATATATATATCTACATATATTTATATATATAGGTATATCCCTTATCAAGTGCCAATCCAGAGTCTTTATCCTCAAAAGATGGTGAATTTTAACAAATGCTTTTTGGATCTACTGAGATGATTATATGGGTTTTCTCTGTTATTCATATGGTGAATTACATCAGTAAAGTTTAATATTTAACCTTCTCTGCCTTCCTACTATGTATTTAGTCATTCCATATTTTTTAATGAATCATTAAATGTTAGATTTGATTTGCTATTCTTAATTTAGAACATTTGTAGCTATAATGATACATCAATTTGGCAAGAAATTTTCTTTTCTTATACTGGATCAGTATTAATGTTAAGGTTATATACTAGCTTCATAAAATAAGCTGGAAAGCTTTCCCAGCTTTCCCTCTTTTACTGTTTTCTATTATAGTTCGTATATGATAGGGATTATGTATCCCTTTAAATTTTAGTAATAAACCTGGGTCTGATGGGTTTTATTTGAATGAAGAGATGCATATGTAAAATTAAAGAACTTAAATGGTTACTGATTTGTTTAGGTTTTCTATTTCTTCTTGAGTCAGTTGTAATTTATATATATATTTTTAATTGCCCACCTTGTAGGTTTTCAAATTTCTTGGCCATAGATTCTTTACAGTATTGTTCTCTTACGATTTTTAAACTCTCTATTCTGTTGGTCATATTTTTGTTCTTCATAGTGCTTATTTATCCTTGATCTGCATTTATAGAGATTTGTCCATTTTTATTAATTTTTTGATTTTATTAATAATCTATTCTTTTATTTTCTATTTAATTAATATTGACTCTTATTTTTATTATTTCATTTCTTCTACTTAATTTGGATTTATTCTGTTGGTCCTTTATTAACATCTGGAGTTGAACATATGCTCATTACTTCAATCTTTCTTATTTTCCAATAAACACACCTAGAGCTATTAATTTTCCCAGTGAGTTCTGCTTAAGTCACATCTCAAATTTTCATGTGATGCTGTGTTATTTAGCTGCAAATATTTCATAGTTTTTATTTCTTCTTTCATCCATTAGTGAGGTTTTAATATTCTAAAGTATTTTGATTGTCTTTTCATTGTTGATTTTCTAATTTTATGGCATTATGATGAAATAATATATTTTTGAATGACACTGATTTTCCAGAGATTGC